TTTCTTATCCATTCATCTACCCTATGTCTTTCTTTTTAAGATTTTATTTATTCATTTTTAGAGACTGGAGAAGGGAAGGAGAAAGAGAGGGAGAGAAACATCAATGTGTGGTTGCCTCTCATGTACCTCCTACTGGGAACCTGGCCTGCAACCCAGGCATGTGCCTTGACTGGGAATTGAACTGGTGACCCTTTGACTCCCAGCCCGTGCTCAATCCACTGAGCCACACCAGCTACAGCTACCCTATGTCTTTTTATTGGAACATTTAATCCATTGACATTTAAGGTTATTATTGATAGGTACTTGTTCATTACAATGTTCTTCCTTTATACTTCTCTTTCTCTATTACATTTTCTTCTTAAAGCAGTTCCTGTAACATCTCTTATAATGCTGATTTGGTGTTAATGAACTCCTTTAGCATTGTTTTCTTTTGTTTGGGAAGCTCTTTATTTTGCCTTCAATTTTAAATGATAGTCTTGTTCGATAGAGTAGTCTTGGTTGCAGATCCTTGCTTTTCATTACTTTGAATACTTCATGCCAGTTCCTTCTGGCCTGAAGTGATTCTGTTGAGAAATAAGCTGTTAGTCTTATTGAAGCTCCCATGTAGGTAATTAACTGTTTCTCTCTTACTGCCTTTAAGATTCTCTCTTTGTCTTTAAACTTTGCCATTTTAATTATAATGTGTCTTGGTGTGGGCATCTTTGGGGTTAGCTTGATTAGGACTCTCTGTGCTTCCTGAATTTGTGTGACTTTTTCCTTTACCAGGTTAGGGAAGTTTTCTGTCATTATTTTTTCAAACAGGTGTTCTATCCCTTGCTTACTTTTTTCTCCCTCTAGTATCCCTATGATGCAGATATTGTTGTTTCACGTTGTCCCAAAGTTCCCTTAAATCATCCTCATTCTTTTTAACTCTTTTTCCTTTTTGTTGGTCTGAGCGGGTGTATTTTTCTACCTTGTCTTCCAATTTGCTGATTCAGTTCTCTGCTTTGTCTAGCCTGCTTTTCATTCCTTTCAGTATATTCTTCATTTCTGACATTACACTCTTCATTTCCAACTGGTTCTTATGCATGGTTTCTATTTCCTTTTTCATGATAATGTAGTTCCCACTAAGTTCTTTGTAGTTCTCATTAAGGTCCTAGAGCATCGTTATAACTATTACTTTGAAATCTATGTCTAATAACTTGCTTCCCCCAATCTCATTTAGCTGTTTTTCTGGGGATTCCCCCTTTTCTTTCACTTGGGGGTTGTTTCTTTTAGTTGACTCCTTTTGTTTGCTTCTACATATCTTATCTGCTTTGACTCCCTGTCTTCATGGGGTGGCCTTATGTGTAGGAGTCCTGTGGGACTCACTGATGTAATCTCCTTGATCTCCTGAGCTGGATGCTCTAGGAATACCCCTTGTGTGGTTATGTGGGCTCTCCTGTTTGCATATGGGCCTTGATTGTTTTTGGCCCTTTTATTGGTGGGTTCTCCCCTCCAGGGGGCTGATTGAGAAACTCCACCTCCACCATATCTTATACACTGTCACACAGGTGCTGACAGGACAAAGCAAAGCAACACAGAAAACAAAACTCACACAAACAAAACCCCCCAGCAAAATCAATGACAAAAGAGCAAAGAATAATAAAAATGGAAAGAGAAATAAAATATTGTAAGAAAAAAAGAACACAAGGAGACAAAAAAAAGAAGAAAGAAAAATGATGATGAATGGATTGAGGGAGGAAAACCAATAAGAGTAAGGGATAGAAACAAGGAATCACCACGAAAGAACAAAGAATGAAAAAAACAAAATTTAAAAATTGTAAGAAAATGAAGGAAGAAAGCAAAATGGAGTAATAATAGGGAAGAGCAAAATATGAGATTTGAAGGGAAAAAGTAGAGAAAACTAAGAAAAACTTGAAGAAAAAGAAAAATGATAAAAAGCTATGCAAAAGCAAAAACAACAAATATACTGGTAATGAAAAAAGAATAAAGTGGAATTTGTCTAGCAGAGTTCAGTGCTTGCCTGCTGGGTTCTCCTTCCGGATACCAATCTGATGCTGTCTGAAGCATTGGCTTCTGAAGTTGGTGGAAGCCGATGTCAGATGTTGTCCACTTCTAGCTCTAGGCAGCCTGTTCGAAGCTACAAATGATCCATAGCTATGACTGTCTCCTTTGGGTCTGGCTGCATCCAGGATGGGCCTTGCTGCTCTGCAAGGCTGGCTTTCTATCAGCACAGAGCCCAAGGGTGGGTCAACTAACGACCAAAGGCACCGCAGGTCAGGAAGTTCAAATCCTGACTTCACGATTTTCCAGCTGTGTGGCCTAGGACCCATTGCTTTTTCCCTCATATCACCATCTGAAATGGAAATCATAATACCTAACTTGAAGGTGAAGGTCAAAATTCGATATGGGCAATGTGCCCAGCACAGCCTGGCATGGAGAAACACTTGAGACACATTGGTCCCTTCCCTTTTATTCCAGCACATTTCCCTCACATCTATCCAACCACTGGTGTATCTTTCTGAAACTCTTGCTTTCCTCCTGTTACTCCCTAGCCACAGGCTTTAAACAGGAGATGCAGAGGAGTGTCCTGACTAAGAGCGTAGGCAAGGGTTTCTCAACCTTTGTTTCATTATCATCCCTCAGTAAGTCTTTTTAAACATTACATTCTTAATCACGTCTCATGAAATTTTAACAACACGGTGCTATCTGTTAATGTTCTGTATTCATAGCTGTGCTCTAGAGGTGAAGCCTAAGAATCAGTATTACCCCCTTTGGAAGCAATGTCACCCCCCCCCACCCACCCAAGAATGTGCAGCATTGACCATGAAACCTACATGCTAAATTCCAGTCCTGGCTCTGCCAAATATGAGCTGTGTGGCCTTGAGCAAGGTATGTAACCTCTCCTTGCCTCAGTGTCCTCACCTGTAAAATGAGGATAATAAGGTTACCTGCTTCTGGGGTCACTGGGTTACGTGAATGCCCGTGCACAGAGAACTTAGAACACTGCCTAGCACATAACCCTGCTGCGTAAAGGTTTGCTATGGTCACTCCCAGTGCTCCCCGCAGCCTGTAGCATGAAGCGGGAATATCTTAAGCTGGCACTCGGGGCAAAATCATTTCCTAACTTCCCTTTGCTGTGTCTCTCTCACGGAGCTTTACGCAAACCAAGTCTCCAGTCCTCACTGCCAGGGCTGGTCCCACTATGCTCACGGCTTCTCCACCATGGCTTTTGCCTCTCAACCAGCCTAGCAGGGCCTCATCCCTCCACCCAGCAGAAACCGGGCCATTGTCCACAGTTGTTGTCTCAATTAGAAGAGAAACTGCAGGTGGTAAAGAATTCGTAAACAAGCATAGGGGGAAAAAATCATCCCCCCCTCCCCTCACTGGCTTTTGCCAATTCTCCCAGGATCCCATCTGCAGGCTCTGAGCAAGGGGGCTGCCCCCACAGGTTTCACCTGCGTCACCAGGAACTGTAGGGGAGGGAAAACCACTTTCCCTCTGCCCTTCTTAAAGAAGTGCTTCTTAGCTGAAACCCCATAATGAAATACAGATTAAAAAGAGAAAAATGAACAGGCGATTATTAACATCAGTACCCCATATATACGTGGGAGATACCCAGGAAACACAGCCCAGACCCATAGTCACTCCTCCAGGGAGGAGTGACTTCAGGCTTAAATACCAGTTTAATGGGGAGAAGGCGGAGGGAGGGTAAATGATGTTTAGAGAAGATGAACGGGCCGTTCGAAGGACAGGTGAGAGGTCTGACAGTTTGTGACCAAGCTGTCTGGGTGTGGTGCCAACTTCCAGTCTCTTCTACGACAAGAGTCAATCTTCCCAGTCGGTGGAACTCCCTGCGTGGAGGTTTATGACCACGGAGTTCCTTTCGGAGGACCTGCCTTTAGGCAGCTGGGAGCAGTTCAGAGACGGCCTCTCCCTGCGTTTGCTGTTTGTTAAGTGCCTACAGCTCGAAAGCACCAAAGTGCCAAAGCGGTGTATTTTGGAGGTGGCACATTCTGCGACCCTTCATAAGGAACAGCTCAGACAAAGGGTGGGGCCAGAGGGGGCTGGAAAAATGAGGGATGAAGACCAGTGAGTTGAGGGTAGTCTCTACAAACCAAAAGGTCCCTGGTTCGATTCCTAGTCAGGGCACATGCCAGGGCTGCGGGCCAGGTCCCCAGTTGGGGGTGTGCGAGAGGCAATGGATCGATGTTCTCCGTCATATCAACATTTTTGTCCCTCTCTTTCTCCCTCCCTTCCCCTCTCTCTAAAAATAAATAAATAAACAAAATCTTTAAAAAAAAAAAAGACTGGCCAAAGGAATGGGGCAGCACGCAGAGTGGGAGGACTGGGGAGGGACGGACAGGGACCCAGGAAGGAAAAGGCGCCCAGGGCAGAGCCAGAGCGGCCTTCACCATGGCCGGAGGAGGCGGGGCGAGAGTGGGAAGGTGGCCGAGGCTCTCCAGTGCCACCGAGCGCCCCAGCACGCAAAGCCCCGCCACTCTTTCCTTGGTCACTTTTCAGGGTGGTGTTTGCGGTCTGAGGGTGGAGGAGAGGTCTCCCCCTGCTCCAAAGACCAGGCTTGTTCACTGCTTGCTCTAAAATGCTCATTCCTGGCTGGCGTAGCTCAGTGGATTGAGCTCTGGCTGAGAACCAAAGTGTCGCATGTTCGACTCCCAGCCAGGATACATGCCTGGGTTGTAGGCCACGGCCCCCAACAACCGCACATTGATGTTTCTCTCTCTCTCTCTCTATCTCCCTCCCTTCCCTCTCTAAAAATAAGTAAATAAAATCTTTAAAAATAAAGAAATAAAATACCCATTCCCCAAGCCTGAGTTCCTCTCTTCGCGTGCAGGTGTCGTCCTGGCCCACTGTGTCACTCTGTGGGGTTGGGGAGGAAAGGGAACTGACACAAATAGGCTGCTGGCTGGGCCGTGAGTCATAGAGTCCTGTCTTCTACCAGCATCTGTGCAACAGGAAAGCCTTAGCTGTTGGCTTCCAAGGAAGGTAGGGTTGAATCCCGGCCCGGGAGCCTGGGGAGAAGGGAGAAGGAAGGGTTGCTTGCAGCGAGTGGGAACCTCCAAGGGGCGGGGATCACATCAAGGCCGTGCTCACAAGCTGAGACTTGAACGACAGTGAGCAGAGCCTCTGGAGCATTTAAGTCAGCAGTTTGGGTTCTAGAAAGAGCTCCTTGGCTTTGGGGTGCAGAAGGAGCTCATTCACTGGGGTGAATGACAAGAAGTGTGAAGGACACGGAGGGGCATTGGAGGCCGTACAGGCCCCACTGGACACAGAAATATGGGAACCAGACCTCAGAGGTGGCTACTGACGGGGCGTAGGTGAGATTGTCCTTGAAGAGTGTGTGACCAGAGGAGAGAAAGGGTGTCGGCCACGTTCCAGAAAGAAGCACTCGGGGAAGCAGGAGGTGAGTCAAAGGCACTGAAACCAGGGACGAACAAAGGAAGGAAACCAGGGGTGGGCTTCCCCAAACCCCAGCTGGTCCCCAAGCCTGCGGCACTGCAACCCCAGCCCACAGCTCTGTCCCAGCGGGCCGTGACAGGACTGAGGAGGAAGCACGGTGGAGAGCGTACAGGATGCCCCTGACCTCAGGAGACCACAGCAACCAGAGTGCAGGCAGTGCTGGGGTGCAGGCAGCCAGGTGGGCAGGGAGGAGCCAGGGAAGGCTTGGGAGGGCTCATGATCATGTCATCAACATGCGCCGAGGGTCTCCTGGGGCCAGACCCCAGCTGCTAGGCCCTCGCTCAGGGATGGACCAGAAGCAGTATTTGCCTTGAACTTGCGTCAGGCTAGTAGGACCATGGTGCCAGAGATGCACGTTGTCCTCGGAACAAGTGGGCTGGGGCTGGGTGCAGGAATCTGCCCTGGAGAAGTCAGGTCCCAGCTGCAGCAGCGGCGGCAGTGAGAGATAACGTGGCAAGGAGCCCGGCCAGGTTGCCTACTGTGTACGTAACTCGGGGTAACTTGGCAGAAGGGTAGAGGGAGCCATGAAATGCCTTTAAGGAGAGAGGTACATAAAATCATAATTATTAAGCATCTACCGGGTGCCAGGCATGGACTAGGAGCTCCCTGTGCCAACGCTTCTCAAACTCAAGGCTCTTCCCAATCTCTGGAGAATTTCATTAAAATGCAGAGTCACATGGAGTTGGTCTAGGGTGAGGCCTGAGGTGCTGCATTGCTGATAAGCTCCCAGCGGGGACCACACTGTGAGGAGAAAAGCTGCAGCTCAGTAAACCTGCACCCCGATCCTGTCCGGGGACTAAAACGGGCTCCCTGTTTCGCACAGGAAAACTGGTTCGTGGGTTTTCTCAGCTTGCGTAAAGACGCACCACTAAACAGAGCTGCATGGTCCCCGCCCTCTACCCATGTTTGGGTAAAAAACACAGCCCCCAAATCATCTCTCCCTGCTGCCCCCTCTTGGTCTGCCCCCAGGCTCGGGTGATCTAGACCCTTCTATGGTCTGCTGGCCTCCAGCCTGGGCTTTCGAGCCTGCCTCCAGCAGCGTCTAGAGATAACCTACCTCACAGGAAACCAGATACCATTGGCTAACTTCGCAAATAAAGATGCCCTCAGAGGGAAGGAAAAGGGAAATGCTCTCTGGCAGAGCCTGCGTGGGACAGGGTGGCTGATTGGCACATCCAGAGATTCCCTTCCCAAGCCCAGCCCAGCCCAGGTAGGAGCCGAGGACCCGATCAGCACCTGTGGGTGGGAGATCAGCACCTGTGGGTGCGTGGGGCAGGGCACTGTGGTCAGAGGCCCAAGTAGGGCAATGATGCTGGTTTGCTTTGCCAACAAGGGAGACCATTTACCTGAGGGTGTTCCAGCTTCAATGTTCAGGGGGCTTTGAGGAGTTGCTGGGTGGTAGGGAATGAGTGGTTAAATCATTTACGATATGCTCAACATGATAGACTATGACCAGATGCATTAATTAGTAAGCACAGGGAGAAATGCTCGTGATTTGGCATTAACTAAAAAGAGAAGCATCATTTGAGAGTGCATCTGAATGGTAGGGTAGAATTATTGTTAACTTTTCACAGTAAGAAATCATATGGAAGTTGTTTTTTTTTTTTTTTTAAGAAAGGAGTCATTCTTTTAGAGACTCGCAATGAACTGTGTATGAGCGAAATGCTATGATGGCTGGACCCATTTTCTGACAATCCAGCAGGACGCGAGGGGGGAGTGGATGAAATGCTGACCGGGAGGGGCTTGTTGAAGCTGGGTGAGGAGTGCGTGGGGGTTCTCTCCGCATTTGTGTGTGTTTGAACGTGTATAATAAAAGTAAAATGTTATAATAAAAATAGCACCTCCCTTTAAATATAACTATACTTCATATGCGCATATGAATATGAAAACATGCATAAAGATTGATTTTAAAAGCTAGCTGCGGTGAAATCTGGGAAGCTAAGCAATTGGTAGTTTTGTGTTGTTTTCTCCTTTTATTTCCATGCATTTTTTGTGCATCTACCTTTTTATAAAGAGCATTTCTAGTGAAGACAACTTGAATTAATAAATTGCTGGCACGAGTTTGAGGCTCAGTATTGCCGTACACGGGTATAGTCATGGCGAGGACCCTCGGGTTCAGGAGCTTTGTGCCATTGGAAAGAAAGGAGTTATGAGTGGGCTCCGTGGTATTCCTCCTTACTCGCAGGCTGACCAGGCTCTTCCCCACATCCGGGGAAGGGAGACCTACTGTGTGTCCGCCACAGGTCAGCCATACCCCTGCTGGACAGCTGCCAGTTTCCCCACTTTGCAGATGAAGGTCGGCAGGGCGGGGTGGGGCAGCGGGGAGACAGCTTGGCTTTGGAACAAAGCTCCACCTCTGCACTTGACCTTGCTAAGCCTCAAGGCCCGCTTTTAAAACGGATATCAGCCAGGAGTTGATTTGAAGCCAGGTGATGGGTCCAGACTGAGTTTCTGTGAAGATTAAGGCATGGTACATAAAATTCCAACCCCATTTCCTGGCCCCTATTTGGGGTTCAAGAAACAATAGGTGTTGTCCCTATGGGAAACTGAGGCTCAGGAAGCTTGTGCAATTCAAGGTCACTGGCTACTTCGGAGTGAGGCTGTGAGGAGCAGGAGAGGAAGGAATGTGCCAGAGCTGACCCAGCACAGGACCACCTTCCATTCCATTCCCCACCCTCCTCCACCCCCCAGGAAGCACCCCATCTGACCTCTGCGGGGCTTCAGAAGGGCAACAGTGTCAGAAACCCTGGCCTCAAAGAACGGACTTCCCAAGGCCCGGGACTTGGGGCTGGTCCTCCCCAGCCCAACCTCTGACCTGGGTCGGAGTCCTCAGCTCCCCTGTTTGCATCAGGCTCAGTGGTTCCCCTGGGCAATGTTTAGAAGCAGCACCTGCAGTGGATGAGCTCTGCAGGAAGGGGCACACCTGGTGTCCCACGACAGGTCACAGTTATGAGCCAGGGGGCACAGGCCAGGCCTCCGCGGACTTTTCCCAGGACTGGTCCCAATTCCCAGAAGCAGTCTGGGAATCCCGAGCGCTTGCATTCTCCTGAGTCACTGATTCTGCTCAGGGAAGCCTGAGCCTTCCAGCCTGACCCTCCTGCTGCCTGTCTGCTGTGGGGGCTCAGAGCGCGCATGCGCCCAGGGGCTGGGACTCTCGTGACTCTCCAGACACAGCGGGCGCTTCAACCCCCTCATCTTTGGGCCTGGCCAAAGCGCAGCTATTTTGGATTGTGAGCCTCCATAGGAAGAAAACCTATATTATACCTGTTTCAATATCTCCCCAGACCCCTTTTTTCTCTTTTGCCTTTTCCTTAAACCTATGTGTATGGTGAAACACACACTCAAAGAACAGTGTGGGGGTTAACAAATTATTACAAATGGAGACATCCAGGCCAGCCCCCAGCAGCCTCCGCTGCTCTCTCCCTGACCACCACCCGTCCCTCCCAGAAGTCACCACGATCCTGACTTTCATGGTCATCACTCCTTGCTTGTTCCTCTACTTGTCCCCCCTAGATGTGCCTCGCTAAACAAGGTGAATGGCCGTTGGGATGTGGGACACCTGGCTGCCCCTCCCCTGTATGTGCGGACTCACGCAGCCGTCTGCCTTTTGGCCCAAGTTTCCAGCACGTACCCACATGGTCGGGGATGCAGGCGCATGCGCACAAATGTTGTTCTGGTGGCCTCAAACTGTGAGCCCCGCTGTGCGTTGCCACAGCCTGATGGCAGGCGTGGCGCACACACGGTGGCACCTTGGACAGCAGTCAGAAGGGACGGGCCACAGCCTCAGCGATAGCATAGATGAGACCCTTCCAGAAGTGCTGAGCTAAATGTACAGACAATCGCCACATTGGTCCGTCTCAGCAAGGCGGTTATTGAAGGCAGCCCCGCCAGACACGGTTTCTAGTCCCATCAGCGAGAATCGCGGCGTTGCTACCAGTCTGTTACAGCTTAGGGAGCAGTCAGTCAGCTCGGACAGTTAAAGGGGGAGGCGGCCCGGAAGGGCGTGCTAGGTAGGACACCAGTAACTTTTCTGGCCTATGTCACAGTCATTCATAAATTCTCCCTATAGTTCCTTAGCGCGGCATCTGAGACTCCTCTGCCCACCCCTCTTCTGCCTGCTTGGTCTCAGCTCTCCCCGCGTCCTTCCTGGAGCCCCGGACACAGACTAAACTGGATTTCTCTGAATGCTCTGGGTTCAAACCTGCCTCTTCTAACCCCACCATCCCCACGTCTTTCTGTTTCTAGCATATTCCGTCACACCCCCTCTGCCTAGCCTTGGTCCCAGGAGCGCCCCCCACCCCATGCTCAGACCCTCAGTGCCTTTGGCTTCAACCCCACCCGCCAGTTTCTGTCTTTACCTCTGTCTACCCGGAAGACCCTTCCAGCCTTTAAGACTCAGCAAAAACGGTCCAGTTCTTGGGTTTCCTACAACTTTTCTAATATTTATCATGAAACAATAAGATTTTACAGAGATTGTATCTTAAAAACCCTTCTACCTCCTCAGCATTTAGTAGAGTGCTTTGTGTTGGGGCCATCAAGCCAAAAACAAACTCTTCTCCCATCCAATCCAGGAACACCTCTCCGCAAAGAGAGGAGAGAGAGAAAACACTTTTATTCTTGAATAAGCATTAAACCAGAACGGGATGCGTATCCCTTGGCAATCCGCTAAGAGACTGTAAAGACAGAACAGGAAAACTCTCACCCTTTACACAGCCAAGCAGATGCGACCCCTCACACCCCTGTTCTCAAGATAAACTAGCCTGCACGTAAGAAAACTTGACAGTCACACACACAGGTCGTCCCGGCTTCACTGTGGTAACTGCAGTCACCATCGGTGTTAACTAATGGGCTCCAGCCAGAGAAGAAATAAACTTCTCATATTGTTATGATAAGAGGTAGTTATGCAACTTGGGGCAGTGCACTCTGCTCCTAACTTCTCACGGA